GTCAGAGGCAATGCGATTGGCACAGGATAGAGCAGGGTTTAGGGCTGTTGTACATAGGGTAGCTATGAGTCGCAAACAACTCGATGGCACATAACAACAACAACAACAATCACAAGTAGAAATTTCCTATCCTTCTCCATCAAGCGACTTGATGGCACATAACAACAACAACATATCTATCTTTATCCATCTCAAGAGTTTATGACTAGAAAATTGCTCTTTGTTGTTTTTTTGGGGGTTTTGTTTTGTTTTGTTTGGGGTTTTTTTGGTGTGTACTATGAGTCGGAAATGACTCGATGGCACATAACAACAACAACCATCAAATCAGATCTGACTGGTACAGGAGGAGATTATCCCTCCTTCTCCAGCAGAGCATCTGGTGGATTTGAACCGCGCACTTCTGGGATTGCAGTGCAGCTTCTAGCCACTAGGCCACCAGAGCTCTCGCTCTTTTGGTTTTAAATATGGGCACATTCATCACTTGGATTCCAGAACCATTTCCATTTTGTTTACGTCCATGAGTTGCCAATAAGTAGTTCTCTTCACTTTCAACACCAGTGCTAAACCTAGATTATACACACCTTTGGCAGAGAGACCTTGGGCACGTTGACTTGGTTACTTGATACTGGACAAATCTAGGGAGTACATTATGGCCCACTTTCATGTAAGCTCCTCGATTGCTACCTTCTTCATAATAATTAGATGCAGAAAATATGGTAATAACCTGACAAAAGAAAAAAGAGGGTCAGGTTCATGTAAAATAAATTCTTAAAAGGTCATTCAATAGATTCTTAAGCAAAAATAAACTTCATACTCACTGAAAATTATCCAAGTCTGATCTGATTCCCCATGATACTATCAAAAGGAAAAAGGCTTTTAAAAATCACTGTTCCACACACCCAAAAGTGCATGGTCTCCTGTCATGTCTTAGAATCCATTTTTTTGGTTCCGTTTTACAAATTCTATTTTTCCAAGGAGATATACTACAATATTTGAGCATTCAGAATAAAACCTGTCAACTACCATTGTCTTTTTCTTCTGATTGGTGTTGAGGGATTTACAGAGTTCAGGGTTCAAAAAAAAATCAGTGTTTTAAGCACAATGAAATGGTAGCTAAAGTAAAGAGCCCTGACCTCTATCTTGGAAAGGAATCAGCCTTCAGAGACTGGTGGCATGTAGGAAGACATCCCTTATTTGTGACTGAAAAGCTAGCTTAGACTCAGTTATGCTTAATGACTATGTCATTTCAGACAACACATTCATTGCTTTTGAGTCAGTTCCAACTCACAGTGCCCCTCCAGAAGGTTACCAAGGCTGTAAATAAAAATGGGAAGAGATTGCTCATTCTTCTCCAGCAAAGGAGCTGTTGGATTCAAACCATATTTGGAATAGCAATGCAATTTGCTAAGGCCTATGCCACCAGAGCTGCTGCCAATTTCTTCTCAATTTTTTCCCTCCCCAAATTTGTTTTATTTGTTGTTCCTCAGAGTACTGGTTTGATAAGGATGGGCCAATCAGCAACTGGCTGTCTACAAGGGGTATATTAGGACATGAGGCCTGAAGTAGCTAGCCTACACACTTTCATAAAAGTAGTTGGTTGGTAGGATGATTGGAAGGGAGGGGGAAACCTCTCCAATACAAATGAATAAAATATAATGTAAATGAAGGACTGTATGGAATACAATGTACACGCATGAAACACAATGTATAAAAATAAAAACATTAATTAAAAACACTAAAAAAAGAATACATATATTTCATTGACTATGCAAAGGAATTTGACTGTGTGGATCACAACAAACTGTGGCTGACTCTGAGAAGAATGGGAATCCCAGAACATTTAATCGTGCTAATGCGAAACCTATACTTGGACCAAGAGGCAGTCATCAGAACAGAGCAGGGCAACACTGCATGGTTCAAAATTGGGAAGGGTGTGTGTCAAGGATGTGTGCTATCTCCATATCTTTTCAATCTATATGTGGAACAAATTGTCTGGGAGGCTGGGCTCTATGAGAAGAAATGTGGCATCAGGATTGGAGAAAGACTCATCAACAATCTGCGTTATGCAGATGACACAATCTTGCTTGCTGGAACTGAGAAGGACCTGAAGCACTTGCTGTAGAAGGTCAAGGCTGCAACCTTCAATATGGATTGAAGCTCAACACCAAGAACACAAAGATTCTCACCACTGGGTCTATTGGCAGCATTATGATAGATGGAGAAGATATTGAGATTGTTCACAGCTTCTGTTTGCTTGGTTCCACAATCAATACTCTTAGCACTAGCAGCCAGGAAATGAAAAGATGTATTGCATTGGGAAAGTCTGCTGTCAGAGGCCTCTCCAAAGTACTGAAGAACAATGGTGTCATTCTGGAGACTAAGGTGCACCTGATCCAGGCCATGGTCTTTGCAGTCACTTGCTATGCATCAGAGAGCTGGACAATGACTAGGGGTGAAAGAAGGAGAGTTTACACCTTTGAGCTGTAGTGCTGGAGAAAAGTATTGAACATACCATGGACTGCTAAGAAAATAAATAGGTTCATCCTGGAGAGGGTAAAGCCAGGCTGCTCCTTGGAGGCAATGATTCTGAAGCTTCATCTGACATACTCTAGACATGTTGCAAGGCCGGAACAGTCCTTGGAGAGGGACGTCATGCTTGGGACGGAGGATGGAGGATGGACGTCGCAGGAGAAGAAGACTCTTGATGAGATGCACTGATTCAGTGACTTGGATAATGGGGATAGGTGTGTTGGAGACAATAAGGGTAGCAAGGGATAGAGCAGGGTTTAGGGCTGTTTTATATATGGCTGCTATGAGTCACAGGCAACTCAATGGCACACAACAACAACAACAACAACAACAACATATACAAGTTCAACAATTTCTCCATGTACAATTTACTAACATGATTAAGTTCCTCAAGTTGTACTACCATTCTTTCATGAACAGTTTCTCCCTCATCAACATAAACTCACTGCCATCTAAATTTCCTATTTAATCTTTCAAGTTCTGTTGCTAATTTGACACTGTCACAGAGAACTCATTTGGTTTAAAGATGACCTCATGAGTTATTTTGTTCTTATTGTTCAAAGCTTGTATATTATCTCAGGTCAATAGTTTCAATAGTCTCAAAAACTCCAGAAAATCTGGAGTCACGAGAATGCTGACCATTTTGGTCAGGAATTTTCTATAGCAATTGTCTTACAAAAAAACTCTGAAAAATACTTGTATAAAATGAACTAATAGAATTAAGAAAAGTGATCATATTAACATAGAAGGGAATTTCATGAATGCTTATGTTAATTTTTATTTACTTCCACTTGAAAACAGAGCATCCAGGACAATTTGGGACAACAAACTAGTTCCTAAGTCTTCACCTCTTCTACACACTCCATTTTGTTGACTGCAACTAAACTGATCACGGTAAGCAATTTCTGGAGATCACCTACTTGGCAGATTAAAAGGAAGAATGTTGTGTGACTCATGTCCAACAGAGAGAAAGTACAAAATATAGAAGAGAGAAAACTCACTGCTACCTTTTATATATTCTTTGAGGATAAAGGCCTGCTTAATCTCACTGTACTAGAGATTTGCCTTATGATTTATAAAGAATGACACCTTTTTGTACATATGTGCCCACTGCCAGAATTTCTGATTAGGTGGAAAAGTAAAATATTTCTTAGAGTAAAGGGCAGTGAGGCATGTTCCAGCAGCCTATGTGAATCCAAGGGTGGTCTTGTGTTTTAGCACATCTTTCCATAGGCTTCTGGGCCAGTCATGATCTCTCTGTCAAGAGAAGACTGCTTGGGAGAACATGACAAGCAGGGCTAACTTACCTTCCCATCATGGCAGATATCGTAACCATCAGGCTTACATTCATGAGATCTAACAAGCATCTTCAAATTATATTTTTTTAAAATCTTGGTGGTAACATCTGGTCCGAAATAGCAACCACCTCCTCGACTTGTATTTGGGAAACAGCCTCTTTTGCCTCTGGGATCACTCCACAGAAGATCAATTACCTTTGAACAACAAAACCAGATTAGACTGTTGCTTACAAGTGAGAAGCTATCTTTCTAGGTTCCTACTTATGTGCCAGAAACAGCAACCCAAGTTATCCTAAAATTTTCTCATTTTTCCTTCAGAATGGTTTCCAACTCATTGCCTCCATAAATCCTTTAATGCCCCACACCCCTCTAATCCCTTTCCACTCATCTCAAAAAACCAGTTGATCAATAACAATAATCAATCAGCAATACACTTGGTAATCATAAAGAATCAGGCTCTTGGTGTCTCTCTCTCCCCTCCCCCCCGCTTCTTTCCTCTTTACCTCCCTCTGTCTCTTTTTTGCCTTTAGAAATACTTATCACATTTGTGCCACAATTATTGAATCTACAAAGGCCTTTTCTCTATAAGAACTCCATTTTCATGTTTAGAGGAGAAAGCAACTTGTCATAGTAGACATACATTGGATGTTGATTGTGGACTAAATTGTGACCCCCAAAAGATATGTCCTAATGCTTGTATCTGTGAACATGACCTAGTTAGAAACAGGCTCTTTGGCAGTGTTATCAATTAACATGAGATTACAGTGCAGTTAGGTAGGTCCTAATTAAATCTCAGTAGTGTCCTTGTAAAAGAGATACAGAGACTTGCAGAGAGAAGAGTGAGGACAGAAGCATAGATTAGAGCTGCAAGGCAAAGAATGCTAACAATCAAGCTATCAGGAAAAGTAAGAGGAATGCATAAGATTCTCTTTCAAGCTTCAGAAGGAATCAATCTGGCCAATGCCCTGGTTTTGATCTCCCAGTCTCCATAACTATGAGACAATAAATTTATCTCCTTTTAAATTACCAATTTGTGGTATTTTGTTACAGTAGCTCTAAGAAACTAACAGTGTTCTTAATTTGTTGAAAGAGATAAGCCAGGCCATCTAGCCGTGGTTTTTGTCCTGCTGAGCTTACAACCTGAGGAAGTCCTTGCTCTTTCCCAACACCAGCACAGACAGATAACTGTTCATCCAAAACTACCTTCTAAAGCATCTATTTAACTTTCTGCCTCCTTGGTAAGTGCACTCTCGGTTTTACACTCTATTACTTTTAGCTACTGACTGGTTTCAATAAAGTGTCTATTATTTATTAATTTTTATTCCTTTTTCCTTTCCAGCCCGGGTAACCATCTAAGAATGATTGTCTTTAAGTCTTTCTTTAGTTTTTATAATAGTGTTCTTACACAATGTTTGTCCTTTTCACTCAGCATAATATCTTTGAGATTTATCTATCCACATGTTCTTCTGAGGGCATGAAGAAGCATACTTTTAAAGTTATGTAATTATTCTAGGAGGTCCAAATCAGATCTTAAAAAGAGAACTAGAAACAATTGCTCCACTAAACATGACTGTACATGGATTCATATGTTTGGTATTGAAGGGGAGCTAGAAATAAGAGGAAAGACAATGTGATAGAGACAAGAATAAAACTGGTACGGGTGCTACTCTAAAATAAGCATCTGGTCACAATTTTATAAGCCTTGCTGTGGGCACATAGTAGAGACTTGTAGAGGTGTTGTTGCTTTTAAAATGGATTTAATGAGTACAGCCAAGCACAATCAATAAGAGTGCATCTGAATTCCAAAATCAATCTCCATAATAGTCTATGTGTTTCCTACTGCGAAAGGGGCCCTTTAGAGTAGTGAGAGAAGATCTTCACCCTGAAACCCACAGCGTCCCTTTTCAGCAGGAAGTAGCTAAGAGAATACGCCGTCCC